GTGGAGATTGGTGCAATTCATGAACATGACCTAGCCCGACAAATAGAGATCGTCCGTCACTATTTTAAAGCAAGTTGCCAATTCATTTTAACTCCATTTACTCTAATTAAAAAAAACGGGTTACATTTACGTCACTTTTGTCATGTTAAAACGACAATTTAGTACACTTTCCTCCCATCTGATTTGTCAATCAACGCAAATATTCGTCTTATGCAATCAAAAAAAAAACATTAGGATCTCCACCCTAATTCCTCTCATATCAAGTAACCGACCCTTTAATCCGTTACATTTCATTAATAACAAAAAAAAACCTTTTCATGAATATATTTCAATCATTTTTTCAAACGCCATGAATCCCACAAATCTTAACCATCGCCACAGTCCCTCCTTATCCGAACAAATTCCAAATGTTCAGTATCAAACCTCTAAATCTCCTCCACTCGCCATGGCGGTCCTTTATTCTCCTCCTCCTCCTCCTTCTTCTTCTTCTTCTTCTTCTTCTTCTCAAAGTCCTTTTGAAAAACTTAATACATTAAAACTTCTTTTAGATTGTGGTCATTTAACGACCGATGAATATCAAGAACGAAAAACTCAAATTATCAATGAAATGACAGGCACATCAACTGAAAAAAGTAAAAAAAAAACATTAAAAAAATCCACCACATGCAAGACGATTCGTACTTGGAACTCCAACGTCTTCGTCTCCTCCTTTATTACAACCTTTACTTAAAACGGTTGTACCCCATGGTCCTCCGGATTTTTTCAAGAATTCGAAAAGAACGAGCAGATAAATTAAGTTTTAATGTCGATACCTTGGAATGGCTTTCCACGCCAGTTACGATTAAATTGGATCTTGTACCATTTGCCACGGGACAGCTACGAAATGCTTATTATTTACAGGTACGACCATGTTGTAACATTGTTTTTTTTCCTTTTTCTTCTAAGTTTTTTTTTTAATTTTCGAGAATTTCTCATGGGTGTTTTATTTTTTTTTCTTCCTGTAAATGATATAGGAACTTGATGCCGAGGAGAATGTATCGAGTTTATTAGTGGCAAAATTAAGTCTTCGTCCGGCAGAACCAAGCACATATTTGAGTGATGTGGAAATGCAAGCTGTATGTGCCCATTATGCAGCACTTTACAATGAACATGAACCACCATTAAAAGTGTGTTATGCACGATCATGGCTTTTGAAATTACGAGATCGAGAACGAGGAGCTTTAGTTTGTTCGGTGGAGGAATTTTTACCTGGAGCATATGTGAAATATAGCAACAATAGTGGCTATGTCGGTCGAGAAACCAGTACGACCGAAGAACGGGAACGCAACACGCCACAGGCATTTTCACACTTTTCGTTCGTGGCTTCAGATTTTCGGTTGATGATTGTTGACATCCAAGGAGTCGCGGATAGCTACACAGATCCGCAAATTCATTCAGCAGATGGTCGTGGATTTGGTGTTGGAAACCTTGGGACTTTTGGCATGGAGAAATTTCTTGAAAGTCATCGATGTAACGAAGTCTGTCGATGGCTGGGACTTCGTAGTATTAATGAACAATACAAGCCGGGTGGAACTGCTGCTCCAGGTTATGAGATGCCTTTTGGAGGAGCTATTAAAAAATCCACAAATCGAATAACAGAAGAACGCAATACGTTCTCTACATCAGTCACAGTCAGTGAAGCTTTTTGGAGATACGGCTACTGGAGAGTGGACGGAGCGTGAAGATTCGAGGGTAGAGAGCGGAGATGAAGAGGATGAGGACGAGGAAGAGGATGACGACGACGATGACGAGGACACTGTCGAGCATTCGGATTCAGCCTCTTATGCTATAGACTTGTCGCCTGCGATATCGGGGCTGCAGCCGCGGCATTCGAAATCGAAGCGGCCAAAACAGAGATTTTTTTCGTCTCCTGCTGCCTTACGTGGTCGGGGTAGTGGGAGATCAGGTAGCAGGTTAACTGAAGTTGAACGTGGTCGCCGATTCCGCCATCCACAGCTTAGCAAACATTCCAGTTTCGTTACAGGGAGTCCTGGTGCTGGAGGAGATAGCCTCTGGGCTTGCGTTTTTCGGATATTACTGTGTGGGTGTACGTGAATCGTACCCATAATTATGATTCGGCACCGATCGTGCAAAGAGATGTTCTTCTTGCTAACAAGCACATATAGAGGTGATTGCTGACCGGGGAGAAGCAGCTTTATGGCAATGGTATTCTCTTGCGAGATATCATCGATTGTTGATCAAAACAATATAGTCCACTGGTTAAAACATGAGAACAAGGTTGGTGTCTTCTGAGCGCCCGTTTTCATTGTCAGACGAGCTTCAACGTGATGCCATGCTACATATATCTCAAGCGAGAGGTTGATATATACCCAAAATTTATTCAATGGCAAGCTGTTCCAACTCTCGTCATTCCACTATTTCGATTGTGTTTCGGTTTACACGGAGATGGTTTTCAATACTACATTTGCAAGTGTTCGCCACGGGAGATTTATCATACTTGCGCGTTGGAAAGAGTATGCTTGCCAAGTCGTCCTTGGCGATGCTTTCGCTGGTTTTTCAGTCGGGAAAACTTCAGTTTTTCGAATCGGATATGATGCCTTGTGCATCCAGACCGTTCTTCACTCCTCAATAAGGCTACCTGAATTCTCGCTGAAGCAAACGCCCACGACCGTCAAGAGATCACTCCATAGTATTCACAATTGGCAAGCTTTATTGACATACAACAACAACATTGTAGGTTAATATTACGTACGCACTGCTGATGCTACATCCACCCTGGAGAGTTTCTATCGTCTCCAGATCTTGAAAAGGCGAGACCGAGCATAGGTGGGAATCACATTGAGCTTTTCGCTTGGGTTGCGGCTTTCGACTGGATCGCCGGTTTCCATTTGGTCCTCACCTACCGTGGTTACGGTCAGACGGATCCAATTCAAATTCTGGTTCACGCTCACGCTCTCGATCGGTAAATCGGAGACTGACGCCTGTGTAATGGACATCTCGTGTTCCGCTTCCCATTAGAATCTCACTGGTTTGATGATCGCTCTCTCGTTCATCAATACACTCTCGACAACGTGCACAAACTGACAGCGGTGCAACGTAACGATTGTAAATAGTGACTCGTTCGTGTGAACAGCACACGGGCTCGTCACATACTCGATACGCACACAAATCACATCGTCGCCAAGTTTTCGACAGTGTTGGAAAGAAAGACCGAGTACAGGCAATACAGTGCCAATTACGGTGCGTTCCACCTGAACACCTTTCATCTTCCGAGTCGACAACTCCCATTGCTCGAAATGAATTCAAGAGTGCTTGCCATACTCGACCAGGAACTGTCCGTTGGTGTCGAAGATTTCGTCGACGAAGTACCTTTTCCAATCTACAAACACCTCTAGCAAGAAACAAGAGTCGATCTTGAGCTACTCGAGAGTCACAACCACCAGGTACATTGCCTAGAAATGCAGCTTGGAACGTAATGCGAAGTGTCTCGGGGTTCCGAGGACTCGGTTCTGCTATCAACCAGCCTGATATCGGATGTAGCGATATGACGCGGTCAGATGGTGCCTTCCCCGCCAGCACATCAGCAGCATCGAGTGTACAGAAGGACATTTGAAACCCTTCTTGTGTAGGTGTTAAGAGTTCAATGTAACAGCATTGTTCATTCTTAACCCGATGACTTGAATCCGATGACTCAGATGCCGTCATCGAAGTGGACGCGACACTAGTCGATGGTCGTGGATAAAAGGCCAATCTTTGGTGTGCAAAGCTCACTGTCCGAACCATCAGTTGTTGGCCCATAGCTGACCTATTAGTACCAGGTGATAGTACTAGTGACCCACGTTCCGTGTTGGGAATAGCATGTAAGAGTGAGGTGTAGATAAAGTGGGAACCGTACAAAGCACGTAGCAGCGCATTGCTCTCACTTTCACTTGAATCTCGCACTAATGCCAGCAGTTTCGAGATTCGAGTTCGAATCTCACCTTCACCAAGCACTTGGCATTGCCGCGACTGGGCATGTCGTACCCGAAAATGTACTTTCATGCCATTTGTGACACCAATTCGAACGCGTTTCCATCCGCGTTTGGACGAAAGTTTGCCAAGGTCGACACGTCTCTCAGGAATTGCTACACGCTGGACGCGCTGGATCAACTCACGGTCACTAAGTCGCACTTTTCGTGTCGATCTGTTCGAAGGTGATACCGACGACGTATTCAATCGAGTGCTGGATGCCGGACCCTCTTCCAAGATCTGATGCATGAGCCAGTCCCTTTGCCAGCAAATCGGAGAGTGGCGACAGGATCAACGGGCCAGACTTGGACAATAGATATTGGGTTGAGTCCCACGGAAAAGAACGGAGAAGAGACCGAGACAATGGAGACGTACGTATGACAAGTCAAACGTTCTATCGAATGTGTCTATGGTTAGTCGATGGAATCAATGACGAATTCGAACATACGGTCCTTACAACTACTGGATGTACTTTTCTACCAGGACGACAATACAAACAGCGTGACCTTTGGAAGACTATGATACTATACGACAAAGCACTTGCATCGACGATGCGTTGATGACAGATGTCAACTGGTAAGCAATCAAGACATTTTGCTTTTGGGGAGCTCAGTACGCATCATGACAGCTTCAAGTTGAAGTGCATGTCCACCATGACGTTGAAATGGTTGTAGTAAACCTACAATGTACTATTACGATAGTGTCCTGTCCTCTTGCTTGTTTCTTCCACTTGGAAACAGCTTTGGGCAAGACTTAGATTTTCACAGAGCCAGGAGGATACACGGCTCGAAGTTGACTGTCAAAATCTTCCCGAGCGACACTCTCCCGGCATCGGGCGCACACCAGTAGCGGTGCTACATGTCGATTGTAGATGGTCACATGTTGTGGCGAGCAGCATGCACTGCATACGTTATAGGAGCATAACTCGCAACGTCTACAGCTCCGTGTCATGAAGATGTGACATAAAGTTCGCGTACATACGATGCAGCGCGAGTTTCGGGGTCCACTCGCAGCAACGTGATTTGCGTTGCTCTTGAGTCGACGAGGCTGCTGAGCTCTGCTGTCTACCAGTTTTCCGAGCTTACACACGCCTTGGACGATCTTCCAAAGGCGAGCATTCATCACCTTCGGTGAACACAATCCGTCGCTCTCTGAACGGTGAAACCGAGCTCGAAAGACCACGTGTACTCCTGAGTCTACCGGTTCAGCAGAGAACCAAGTGCTGAACGGATGCAGGTGATGCAGCTTCCGACGCAGTGGGACCTGGATTTTACCTGTGACCATTTCTCGACCAGTCAACGAAAAGGTCGTAATGCTGAAGCCACCGCTTGAAGTGGGTGAGAAGAGTTCAGCATAGCACATTTGCTGGTTCTTCTTGTCAAACATGGAGGTGGACACAAAGGCAGACGTCTTAATCAGGAGCTTGTTGCTACGATCGTCTCCTTGTCGACCTAGCGCCGTTCTCTCGTGAGTGGCGTCAGTATCTCGACTGTGCGACTTGCGACGGAAGATAGCTTTATGCACGAGTGACCCATAGATGAAGTCTGAGCCGTACAGTGAATGCATGACCGAATTATAGTCGCTCTCGTTTGATGAGCTAAGTGGCAATGCCAACTGATCGATCGAGCACGCTACATTCCCTACCGCCAAGACCTCGCTGTCAAGTAGTGATGATAAAGTTTGCGAACTGTTTGTTTCGCTGTTCATTGGAGATTCTCGTGTATAAAGCTCAAATCCCTTCTTTTGTCGTCGCGGTCGCCAGCCTTGATTTACTAAGCTCACGGATGAATGGTTGTCGCTACTACGAGATAAATGTTGCAACCGCTGTATCCGTCGAGCACGGCAAAATAGTTCTCGGTCATTGATCCGTACTGCTCGCAACGGAGAAGATCGGACCAATGTTGGATTCACGGACGGGGGTGTTAATGCAATGTAATTAGGGCGTTGTCGAAGACTATTTCGGTGTTTACAACGAACGACCGGCGTTCGTTCAACTAAATGTAGTGCTTGAAGCGGAGCTCGGACGGTAGTTTTCATCACGGGTCGTAAGAACTTTTTCCTCTTTTTGTTGAAAAGGGTAAATTGAGGAATGCAACAACTTCCTCACGGTCAGCATGACATGATTCAAATAGACGTAAGACTTGAGTCAAAAGGACTACTCAGATGAGAGATGAAACACTGGCCACAATCATCTTGCCCACCCTCTACTTGGAGACGAGCCCGAGAGAAAAAGACATATTCAACAAACAAAGTAGGACTAAAGGAACAAGAAGAAGAAAGTTAATTCTTTTCGTGATCCATCTTCTCAGTCTAGTAGAGTTTTCTCATAAAATCGTCTACAAAGGTACAGCCATGTCGGTTTTTCAGTTGCAAGTGCAACATGAAAAGCGTGGATCTGTTCATATTGTCGAACCATGGTAGGATTTTCGAATGACACGTCCATCACTTATAAGCTTGACACTGAATGATGAGTAACTAAGTTTGACCTTAATTTACTACTAAATGGTATTTCAAAGGAGTGAGTTGCTGCGTAATTCGGACTTTTTAAATCCTTATTGGTAACATACTAGGCAGTATACGGTGTTTGATGTATTGACACGTCTGAAATAGCCAGCGTATTTGCAGAAGAGCACATTCGATCTAGTGTCAGATGGAGAAAAATAATGTATTCTTGACCATAATGTCAGCACTCATATTCATACGTGGTACTTTCATGTATCAAGTGTGTTAGAGACTTGTCGATAAATCTTCTTTTCGCTTCTCAGCATTGCGGATTGAAACCAACACTCTATACAGTATCAAGCTTAACCGTTATTACTTGCCACTGTGGTACAGTGAAGATCGCTTTGTTGATTGTACATCCTCTTATATTTGATACCACGAAGAAATGAGAATGTTTGTATATTTTTTTCTCGAGGGATTCTCATTGTAACCTCTCACATATAATTAAAGCGTTCGGTGGCTCAGAAACCAAAGATTTAAACCCAAAAAAGGCATGGACGTTGCACTATTTTAGGCTCGAGCTGTGAAAAGGTCACGCTGCTTGTATTGTCGTCCTGGTAGAAAAGTACATCCAGTAGGTATAA